AATTCCTAGTCTATCACAGTCTGGAAGCACCACTGAAACCTGTTCAGCCTTAGAGCAATACACAAGTCTCCACTGGCAGATGGATGGTGACTGCACATGAGACGCTATGCTGGGAATCAAACCTAGGCCTCCCACAAAGGAGGCAAGAATTATACCACTGACCCATAACCAATATCTCATAAATCCCCCTTAAGCACTCTAATATACTAATATACCACTTTTTTGCATCTGATATTCAGAGAAATCAGTCATTTGTGTGGATCACACTGTTGTTAAGTGCCATCGAGTTGGTTCCAACTCATAGTGACCCTGTACAGGGTTTCCAAGGAACAGCTGGTGAGTTTGAACTGCCGACCTTGTGATTCAAACTGAGTTTGTTGTCCAGTGCTTTACCCCACAGCGCCAACATTTGTTGTTGTGAAGTGCCGTCAAATTGGTTCCGACCCATAGTGACCCTGTATAGGGTTTCTGAGGAGCAGTTAGTAAGCTTGAACCGCCGACTTTGTAGTTCAAATAGCTTGGCAGTCTGGCGCATTAACACAGAGCACCACACCCGGACTCCCACATAGGCAGTGTTAAATCAAACATGTGATTCAGATGAGCTAGGTTCATCTCAGTGACTGAATGGCACAGCACGTCATTTCTTGCCCATGTTGCATGTCCAGCACAGTTTCTGCTAATTGTAGTCATGAGGGACCCAGGCCTACAAGAGTAACCCCTCAACACACACTTTCCACCATCAACCTGAAGAAGAGGGGAGATGACCATCTGAGTACTGGTTCCTATGGCACACACCCACCCAACATATCACATCTGCCTGGAAACAGAAAGGCAGTGATGGGTCAGTAACCTAATTCCCACCTTCTATAAAGCAGATCCAGGTGCAATTCTCAGCTGATGAGCCCCACATGCAGCCACCACCTTTCTGATACTCGAAGTTTACCTGTTGCTATGATGTTGAACAGATTTCAGCAAAACTTCCAGTCTAAAATGGACTAGGAAGAAAGGCCTGGCAACCTACCACCAATTATCAGTCAATGAAAACTCTACGAATCACAATGGTCCAAAGTTGCAACCAATCACGAGGATGGCGCAGGCCTGGGCAGCATTTTATTCTGTTGCACATGGGGTCGCCAAGAGCCAGGGGCCAACGTCTTGGCGGCTAGCAGCAGCAAATTTTTTAACCGAGTAAGACACCGTGCTATGCCTGACTTAAGGAGCAGAAGAGAACTGGTAAATGACACTAATAGCTAAGCCGCCAGGCCATGGGGAAGGATGACCACGTTCCTTTAGCCACTTCCAAATGCGAACAGCGTCAGCAAACCAGAGGAGAGGCCGCTCTGCTCATTTTGGTTCCTCCCCCTACTGATCTTCCTTTTTAGTTTATTTGCTGGTGAAAGGAAGCATCTGCGAACCTGGGTCTGTCTAACCAGGCTCCTTTTCTATCAATGGCTTTGCCAGAGAACAAGGGCTCTGGGCTTTTTAAGATCTGTGTGAACCTGGGCGCTTTTTTTTTTTTTTTTTTTTTTTTTTTTTTTTTTTTTTTTTTTTTTTCATTTTTCTATTTTAGCTCATTTAGCTGCTTGAAGTCTTAATAGATTTCGGGTCATCTTGGAAGTCGGCATTAACAGCAAACTTCCATCTTCCCGTGCCTGCATATTTAAGATGTTGAAGGCTTGGCTGGATCCAGAATTAATTTTAAAAGGGGAAGGGGGGACTGCTTTTGAACTTCAAGAAGAAGGCTGGAGGCTCAGCAGGAGCTGCCGTAGCAAAGGAAAAAAGCGAAAAGCCCTGTGGTCTTGAAAGAAATGCGCCAAAGCGGAATCGCTAAAGCTTCCAGTTGGTCAGCATTAAATCAGACTTGAGAAGCGCTGCTAGTTTAAATATTGTTTAAAAGACTGAGTTACTGCTCCTTCTTCCTCTGGCTGGATTTTAAATATCCCCTAATTTGATTACTCAGGGGAGAGGCAAGCAGAACCAACGTTAAATAAGCATCACTGTTAATTATTCAGAGGGCTTTTTATTGTGTAATCAAACATAAAGTCCTACAAAAAGCTTGGAGACACACTCTCACCCCATTCACCCTATCCTTGCTGGCCTCCTGCCCCTTGGAGTCTCTGGGCATTTCCCATGCTGTGGCTGGGGGTGGGTCAGGGTTCAGCACGGTTCTGCTGGTAAAAGTCTTGGCTTAGGCTATCCAGGCCCCATGCCGTGGGAAGCCAGTCTAAGAAAAAGTTTATCTTGATTATTTGTTGCTTCCTGTATCTGAGAATCTTCCCCCACCACCAGCACCAGGACGCCCCAGACAAACCTAGCTCCCTCCCTACTCTCCATCAACATCCCTCTGCTCGGTTCCCTCACGTTACTTCTCTACACTGGAAGACAGACAGTCAAATGTTTGAGGAGATCCCAGCCATGCAGAAATCATTTCTGCAGAGCAAATCGGGTCAAAGAGATGGATGGATGGACGAATGGATGGACAGACAGAATTATACACAAGATGGAGAAATCAACAGATTAATAGATCAGTAGACAGAAAGATAATAGGATTGAGATATCAGTGAAATGACAGATTGGTAGGTTTATCAATGATCGGTAGATGGACAGATAGGCTAGAAAGATCAGAAGATTTACAGATCAATCAACAGACAGAGACAGGTTGACAGAATAGGACTGAAGGTTCAACAGACTGATATATTGATAGGTTGACTGAAAGACAAGTACACAGATAGAAATATAGGCAGATAGGCAGACAGATGAAAGGGCAGGTAAGAGTCAGTTGAGAAAGCACACACTGAGAGTCTCCGCTTGCCTATTAATTGTTGTTATTGTAAGGTGCCCTCATGGCAACATTGTGCCCTATATAAGGTTTCCAATGAACAGGTGTTGGGTTTGAACCTCCCGACCTTGCAGTTAACAGTCTAGTGTTTATCTTACAGCTCCACACTGTTGTTGCTGCTGTTAAGTGCTGTCAAGTCAATTCTGACCCATAGTGACCCTGTGGAGGGTTTCCAAGGAGCAGCTGGTGAGCTTGAACCGCCAACCTTGCAGTTCAAACTGACTTTGCAGTCTGGCGCATTTACCCACAGCGCCACACCAGGACTCCACAATAGAGATCTAAAACTCTAAACCTAAAAGACTCTGAAAACTTAACTTGGTAACAATATGAAATGAAATGAACCAAACCAATTTAGTGGTCAAACCTGACCTGAAATGACTTACAATCTTGACTTGTCCCACCTAGTATAAATATGAGCACTTGTCATTGCAGAAGTACTGATATATTTGATAATAGGATACTGCCCCAGGCTCCTTCAGAGCAACTGTCTAACACATGGTATATGCACAGCCTATTTCCTTTCCAAAATGGCAAATTCTTTATTTGGCAACACAGTCAGCCCCACAGATTTCAGATTAGAGATTGGACATGTCACCAGCAGAGCCTACTGGAGCTCTGCTTCTTATCCACAAAATCCCTCCCCGCATGAGTAGGGAGGGGATGATCCAGGTATTGTGGGACTAAAGCTTACTTAAATAGGGAGGGCTTTAGGAAAAAAAAGAAATCAAAATTAAGTGCAAGGCCCTGTAAAGGACTATGCAAATAAGTGTTCCTTAAGCTTTAGATATATTAGTTTCATTGCAAATCTGCATCTGAGCAAGTGACTCAAAGCCACCAGGTTTGTTTTCTCATGTATAAAATGGGACAAAGTCCTAAAGTTTTGTTGACAATATTCAGTAAGATAGCACAGAAGCATCCTGCACATATGGTATACTATAGCATCTTTGCTCAATAAGCCCAACATCAGTTATCTTCACTGTGAGTCCCACCCTATACCACACCGTCTGTGTTACTTAGTGGTGTCCCTGGTAGTGGCACCAAGGCAGGCAAGGATTCAGAAATGCACTAACTTTTACATCTACTCTCAGACTTACTGGAAACTTGCCCTAGAATTTAGGAGGAAACCTAAGTTAAAAATGCAAATAAATTCAGAATTCACACATCTATACGCCACCTCCTCCAGCCCAAACCAGGAAGTAGTAGTGATCTTTCCCAAGCTTGACTTTCACTCATGAGAACCACTACCCCAACTCCAGCAGCCCCAGCTCTTGAGAACTGCCCATGTCCCATCTTCACAGTCGCAGGAGAAAAAACAGATATATATCACCACCAGCCACCATCTATCCTCTATTTATTGCATTTCTTCAAAGAACTTGAATAAATCGAGGCTTTAGAATCGGAGAACTCATTAAACTGTTTCTCACTCAGGGATCCAGGTGGAAGCAAGAACACAATAAAAAAGATCAATAAGGATAAGTCCATGGGACAGAAGTGGGAAAACTTCATCACCTCGTCAAAGGTAACCAGTGGCACATGATACTACCACTCAGATGCCAGGGGTTTTGGCCAGTCTTTTCTCTTCTCTGATGTTTTGTTGTTGTTGTTCCTTTTCTGGGTTTCGACGTTATGGAAAGTTACAAGCACGTGCTGTTGGGAGAGTTTTTGTAAATTTTAGCTAAAATGGCTATCTGGGAATCATCGATGAAATAACATTTGGTTGGCAATCACTTGAGAGGGGAGAGGGATGCCAGGTGCTACTTAATAAGATGTCACCAGCAGGAAATGGACTCACCTCACGCTATCTTTGAAATCTATAACATCACTTCTATCTTCGTTTTAAAACTCAGTCCAAAAATACAGAGCGATTCAACAGACAAGACTTTCCGCAAACTAGAATGTGTGCTTGCTATTCAGAGGACAGCAAGAGGTCTATTCTTTGCACCCAAAGCTAATCCTAACGCCAAACCTCCCAGATTCACCTACATAACCGAAAAACACCCTAATACAATGGCAACAGGTACTATTTAGATAGTGGGTGCTGAACTTACTATCTTACTCACAAAATGGGCTTAATGCTCATCCCTGCCCACCTCACATTAATGAAGCAATATGAACACTCATTTTTAAAACTTTAAAATGCAGAGCATTATTGTGGATATATTCTTTTTAGAAGCAAAAATGTCACTTTGAAGACTCAAGTCTTAGTATCTTCAATCAACTCATATGCATGAAGTAAATGAACAATGAATAAGGAAGACCAAAGGAAAATTGATGCTTTTGAATTGATGGTGTTGGCAAAGAAAACTGAATATACTACAAACCGCCAGAAGAATGAACAAATCTGTTTTGGAAAAAGTACAGCCAGAATGTTCCTTAAAAGCAAGGATGGCAAGACTTTGTCTCATATACCTTGGATGTTACCCGGAATGTCCACTCCTTGGAGAAACGCATCAGACTCGGTAAAGTGGAGACGCAAACGAAACAGAAAAAAGAGAATCTACAGATTGGGAAAAATATTTTGGCAATGACATGTCAGACAAGGGACTAGTCTCTAAAATTTACAGAACACATCAACACCTCAACAAGAAGAAGACAAATAATCCAATTAAAATCTAGAAATGGACAGACACTTTACCAAAGAATGCATTCAGATAGCTAACATATGAAGAAGTGTTGATGATCACTTGCCATTATAGAGATGCAAATGAAAACAACAGTGAAATATCATCTTACCCCGGAATAAACAGGAGAGTTCACACACAAAAAAAACAGAAAACATCAAAATGCTGGGAGGGTGTGGAGAGTTGGGACCCTCCAATATTGTTGGTGAGACTGTAAAATGGTGTAACCACTATGGAAAATGGCATGGCGCTTTCTCAAGAAGTTGGAAATGGGAATAGTGTTTGACCTGGAAATCTCTGTACTTGGTACAGATCCTGAAGAAATAAGAATTGTGACACAAATAGATATATGCCCACCTATGTACGTTACAGCACTATGTACAACAGCAAAAACATGGAGACAGCCTAACTGTCCATCAGCAGAAGAATGATCAAACAAACTGAGATAGTCATCCAATGGAATGCTACGCAGCGTTGAAGAAGAACAAATCTGTGAAACACCTTGTAACATGGATGAACCTGGAAGACATTATGCTGAATAAAATTAGTTGAACACAAAAGCATAAATTTCGTAAAACACCACCATTGTAACAGTCAAGAAAAGTTTTTCATGTTAAAAGAAACATTCTATGATGGTTACCAGGGGTGGGAGGGAAGGGAGAATTATTTACTGCCTAGAAGATTGTTGTTGTAAAGTGCTGTCAAGTTGGTTCTGACCCATAGTGACCCTGTATAAGGTTTGTTGTTGTTGTTAGGTGCAACTGAGTTGGTACCAACTCATAGCAATGTTATGCACAGAA